TCATAGGAGTTTTTTTCTTAAAGTTTTTTTCTAAACCGTTACAAAATAACAAACTATTTGTTTAGCTATTCTTTTAGTAATGACTTGTAGATGAGAGAACTACAGAATAAACAGCTCTTAAGTGAGATCACGACTTTTCTATCCTACTAATATCATTTATAATGATAATCATTATAAAGAGACAATTATTTAACCACACAAAGAGTATTAAACTATGCTCAGGGAAGCACATGTTTGTAAATAGAAAGATAATGCTTTTATTTGTTTGGGATATAAAGGAAGCCTTGCATTTTCCTTTTGATCTTTATTTTCCAACATGAGTAATAACTTTGTCTGCTGTGCTTTCAAGAATTCAGGCTGGCAGACATGGTGACCATAGTTGATAAATGTGCTAGGGTTACACTTGCTGCTCAGGATTTAGTGTAGCACGAGGGAAGGCTGTAGCAACAAAACTTGTCATGGTATAAATACATTAACTTTGTTAGAGTAGTATACACAGCTTGATTCCAAGACATTGAAATGCAGCATGGGGCAACTTTCCTCTTTGTATTGATATTTTGTGTACTTCTTTAGGTAGGGCTTTTGTGCTTCACAGTCAAATTGTTAGCATTACACTTAAGAAATGTCAGGAGCTTAGAATCAAATTCCCAGGACTGTCGCAACATCAGTGGCACAGTGCTCCTTTTCAGCTGTTTTTTAAAATCTCAACAGCGATTCTTGGCTTTCTTCATCACTGTCCACCTTTTAACTAATGCGAGATCAATTGATCCRGCATAGATCCTGAGCAGTGGACTTCTCATTTCTGCCTCAGAAAAAGGTTGTAATTTCTTTTCACGGTAAGAACTGCAACAAGTATGCCAGGAGCCAGCCTCACAGCGAGGAGAGTGGGTTCAGGTTCAGACAAGTGCCAGAAAACCTCCAGGTGCTTCAGGCACTCACTAAGCAGCTGCACGCAGCAGAGCAAAGCTCCAGCATCTGTAAGCAGAGCAGCGAGTGCAGGGATCAGACCTCAGGGCAGTCTTCTCAAAGGCATGTTCTTGSAAAAGTTTTGAGGCTCTCTGTCAGGACGGATGGGTGGCGATTGCTCTTTTGCAGGGCAGGAATCCTTAATGATTGCACTTGGGGAGTTCCCAATCTTAGATTGTTATCATTAAGTGTGCAGTCACTACAGTGGAAAGAACTTTTTGCCAGGACATTAAAGATATCCGCTAGGGAAGAAATATTAGAAGCAGTGGGATTCTGAAGTTTCCACGGTGTGATATACTGGATGTGCATCCTAGTTCCCATTTCCCTTCTTTCTGAGTACTCAAGCAGGGAGGGAAGAGAGGCTTTCACACCAAGGCAGATGTTGATGAGGGGAGTGTTTCCCTGATGTTAATGGTGACCAGGCAGGGCAGAGGCCATACTGCTCACACTCCCTTTTACAAAGATAGGCCAGTTATTTTTTCCTGGGCTGATACATTCAAACTGAGGTGTTTTAAATGCCAAGAGTAATTCAGGGGACCTGACCCACGCTTTGCTTCTTTTGACTCAGACAGCACTGTGTGAGCCACTGGAGAGCAGCAAGGAAGGATTTTTCCACTACCCCCGAAGGCACAGCACTTCTGTAGAACTGGGTATTTTGAAAGGATATTTTATAGAATGCTTGAATTTCATTAGTCTGTTTTTATATCTGAATATTCTGTTATGTCCGTAGTTGTGAATCAAAATAGGAAAATCTAACTGAACTAATTGAAAAGACTGGTGAGTAGCTTCACACTAGTATAGCCCCAAGAGTGCATTGAGTGTTACACAGTTAAAGGGGTGTTTAACAGCTTGCTTTAATGGTATGCCCTGGTATCGCTCTCTGTTGCTCTTCTGTAGTTAAACTTGGCTTGAATGTGGATGCTAAATAATTTATAAATGTCTGTTATAAATTTGGAGAGGATGCTGATTTGGGCTGTGGGTTTTCTTTGTGTCTTAATAAATTATACTTCAAGGAGAAAATAGAAAAAAAAGGAGCAACCACACTTATATTTAGTAATTAAAATAGCCTTATGAAAACCTACTGAATGCAGTGTTGACGCCTCCTGCAGAAATGAAAGGTTTTGATGTGTGTGTGTGTGTGTCTGGCTCCTTCGTGTTTCTTTTAAACACSTTCCCAAAGTGTTGGTGGAACTTGGAAAACGGCTTTACCTTTATCTGCCTGTTACCTCTGCTATTGTAAGCTGACGCTTGACAGAATCCATTAGACTTGCAGTCTTTAGTGGAAAAGAGAATTCTTGAACTCCTAAATATTTTTTGTGTGTGCAGAGATCTTACTGGAAGTATGCAGACTTGGTTAGGGTGAGATTCATATAGGGCAGTGTGTTTTTGACCTGTTCTGCAGCTCCTTGACCTCCGAGTGTCGTGAGGTCCATGCAGTCACCATACAGTCCATGCACGTGACGCGTTAAAGATGTGAAGCCACAATCAGGCATGGGGAGGATGCGGTTGATTATTACAGATTTTGAGTGTAGGGAAGATGCAGTTAATGTTGCTGAACTTAGTACAGGCAGTGGTGATTGAGGTGGATGTATCACTTATGTGGGTGACAATGTCTGGAGAAGGTGGCTTCCCAAGATGACCAAGATGACCATGTTTCATGCGCTGCCTGGCTGTTCCCTGCTGTGATGCCTGCGGAGCTCACCAGGAGTGACACTAGAAGGTCTCCTGTCCCTGGATGGGACCAGAAGATGTCCTTGTGAAGCTTTTATCAGGATTGCTCCTGAGGGCAGAAGAATCCTTACTTCCCAGATGACCACACCCTGAAAGGGAAGAGGGACTGTTGCCACAAGCAAATCCAAGCCCGGTGCTCCAGCACGTGCTGCGGGTGCAGCAGGAGCAGGGCTTATGGGCTCGGAGGCTTCGCTGTGGGAACTCAGACACTGAGTTTTGCTAGGGTTGCGYTACGTGTTTCCACTACAAGTACAGTCTTCTGAAAGCCATGCAGCCTCACCAGCCTTTTAGTAGCCTGCTTACAAGGATTATTTGAGAGGATTATTTGAAATTTCCGGTGTACTTTATTTTTTTTTAATAAGATAATGATTTCAATATGTTTCTCCTCATAATTAAGAGTGAATTGATTTATGGCGGTAGAAATCCTGTTTTGCTGCTCAGACCTCATGGGCACTGATTAAATTTAATCTTTGTATTTATTTATTTATTTATTTATTTAGAACACCAGTATGCTATAAATATATAAACCACCTGCTTGGAAAGTCGCCTCCTTTGCTGGAGGGCCGGGCGAGGCGGAGCGGCGCCGCGGTGCGCGGCGGCCTCTGCCAGCGGCCCTGCTGGCGGGCCCTGCTGCGGCCCGCGCGCTCAGGCCTCTTTCACACCAGCTGTTTTGTGGGGCGTTAGACATCGCAAAGTCGATTGGAGCCTCCCGTGTCGTCTGCTCTAATGTTTGCTGTAATTGTTTTGACGCCTCTTTAATAGATAGGTGGGTGTTTTTGAAGTGCTGGCGTTTTTAGRCACTGCATTTGAGTGTGTCGGGTTTATGTATTTACATAGCATTAAAAAAAACAGAGACTTCAACTATATGTAGCAGTTGGTGTTTTTTTAACCCTATCATGCTTCTCCCTTTTCAGATAGTTCTTAATGAACCATCCTAGTACTCATGTGCCCAAATCATTCAGAAATGAGCAGTCTGGGGGTGGTGGAGAGCAGCCATGCACTGTAAAGTTTGTGTACGTCCTCCTCCACTGCATTATTTCTTTTTTAAAACAACTACCCTAAGAACCATAAACTTGATTACATGGAGTAAAGTTTTCTCACCCCTGAGTGATCACAAATTATTTTTTCTGAAGCGTTACTGTGCGGTATTTCTGCMTTGACTTTGTATGAAGAAAAACAGGAAAAAAAGGGAAGAAATCATATAAATGCTTGGTGGCTTTGAAGCTTTGGGTGTAAACTGTCTGTGTAAATGGATTAAGATGTTTAAGGACCTCTATGTTSGTGTTTGAGCGCTGGAAAGCACTGGGTGCTCTTGCTGTGCCCCTCAGCGGAAGGCTGCTCTCCTCTGAGCGCTTCATGAGAAAATAACCTCACTGCTTTTATCGTGATAAATAATCCCGTGTTTAGTAGATGTATAGACATGTTATCCCATCTGCCGTAATAGGCAGAAAATCGTCATCTGAACTTGGACTGCATTTAAGTGTTTGTTTAGCTCAGTCTGTGCAAAAGTCATTCCATTTAAAGCAGGCCTGAAATAGCTAACAGAAATATACGCAATTTTATTCTAATAATAACGAGAATCTCAAATGTCAGGCTGTTCTCTCCCTGAAAGTCTAGAAGAAAAATGTTCAGAGTGCAAAGATGCAAGAAACTTAAAGTGAGAGCTGGAGCTGGTGGTGGTGGGAGCCCCTGGGAGGGAGAGCAGAGCAGCTCCGCGTCCCTGCTCCCCTGCACATKCTGGGAAAAGGCATATGGGGATAGCAAAACTCAAAGCCACCTGGGGCTGGAGAGGAATAAACTTCCATTTTGGAGCAAGCATGTGTGGTGTGGCGGGGAGAGGGTGAGCGCACGTGGGCAGCTGCCTGTCTCCTGCTCTTCCGTACGGAGCGTCTTTACTCCAYGCAAATTTGCCTTGCAGTCTCGGGCAGCCTGAGACTTCGGTAATTTTTAAAGAGTTGTTTGACTGTGCATTTAAAAATAATGACCCCCCAAAATGCTGGCAGGAAAAAGGAATGTGGCACTACAATTTTCTTTGTTTCTATTCTGTTCTTTAGTAAGGAATTCTATAAAGTTTTAAGAGAAGGAGGAAAAAAAAAAAAGAGAAAAAAAAGAAAAAAAAAACCCTCAGCACAAACTACAGCAGCCTGAAAATATTAAAAAAGGAGGTTCCGAGATCTTTTCAGTTTCTCTTCTTGGTTTCCGAGCAGCGCTTCTCCTTGGAGAAGTCTCTTTGTCATGGGAAAAGGAAAATGCAGTTGTGTTCATTTCACAAGTTAGATTCTTTTTTTGTGTGTTATTAACAGGTTTGGCAAACATCGCAAAGATGACAAGAGTGAGAAAACTGGTAAAATAAAAGTGCAGGAAGCTCTTACTTCAGAAGAGGAGAGAATACGAATGAAGCAAGAACAGGAGAGGTAGACTTCAGTATTTGCTTAAACCTTGATAGAAGGAGTTTTGTTTTTAAACTAAATAACTGAAGTTCCATTTTTCACTGATGAAATTTTCCAAATGCTGATATGTTTATATACTTAGCATAACAAGATGGAGCTGGATTTATTCTGGACATTAGCTTTGACAGCTTCTTTGGCTGCTTTAAACTTTTATAGAACAAGATCTCCTTTCTTTATTGAGGAGACTGGAATAATAATATTAAATGTTTTCTCTATACATTCTATAAATGATTTTATTGACATTTTTAGAAAAATAGTATTTATATAGAATGAAGTAAATTTTGTATTTTTCTTCAAAGTCTTGCATATCTAGTTTTTTCTTTGATATATTTAGAAACAATATAAAGACATATAATCAGTATATTTGTCACTGAAGTTCAGTCTATTTATGTGTCATGCAGTATGTTTATGGAATGATGTGTATATTAAACTGCTAATTGTAAAAATGAGTGGTGAGTACCTCTATTTTTCCATGTCAACTTCCCTTAACATTAAAAGCCTATGTGTTATATATGTCACATGCTCTTCTCAATACTTCCAATCTGTATTTCATCCTGTCTTTTGTAGCCCTAGAGGTCTGGGGCCTAGTCTCTGATATCTTTTATTTCCATTTACTCAAAATCTTGGAAAGCTTAGGCTGTAATTTAACTAGTATTGAAGGATGTACAGGGAGAGAAGGCCTCTTCAGGTAGAAGGTTCTTCCACAGAGGAGACAAAATTTAAAGGGCTACAGTGTTTGCATGTTGGATCGTAAATACAGTCAAGGCACATTTTGCAGTGAAAGAGAATAAGCAGTTAGGGCTGATTCATCTAAAATATGTAGTGTAGCTCAGCCCTAAGTTGTGGTTTGATGGAGAAACCACAGAGGGAAAGTTTGTTGTTTGTCTTGTGCAGGAAGCTTGACTAGTTAGTCATAGTGATCCCTTAGACCGTCATAGCTAGGGCACCCGTGTCAGCTGTGGGTAAGAACASAAGCGAGAGCTTTGTCATTTTAACAAGCTGTTACATAGCAGAGCTACAGTAGCTCCTTCATAGCTGCTCAACTACAAAGTAAAATAGTTTGCTCAAAGTTGTTTTAAGGTGAAGTGATTGACATTAGAGCTAAGGCAGGCTAGGAGCAAAGATTCATCAGTTACTGCAGGTCAGCTGATCAGCAGTAACTTGTTAAACTGCTGATGTTTGGTCATTTGTGATTATCATTTGGATTATGTTTTGGGAATCCTTTGGCTTTTCACATGCGCTAGAAGAGATCTATGAAGAAGTTCACTCACAAGTACATCCCTTCTGCCAGTAGAAGGTGGCTGAATAATAGTGTTTGTTGGTTGTTTTGGTTTTTACTTGTTTGTGATGTTACTTTATGTACTCTTCATTGACAAAAGTGGAACAGGCTCACTAAATTTGCCCCTGTTTTTAAGGGTAGTGTACTCTCAGATTATATAGTGAAAGGAAATACTGATACCGARGAAAATAAATGACTTTGGCTACATGTGTGCTTGTGCAGGCAACTTTCCTTTATATGTAGGCAGATTACCCAGTTCGTGGTTCAGTTTCTAGCACTGGTGCAGAGGCCTTTGGAAGCTAGCGGTGGGGCCCTGGCGAGCTCAGGGCTGGAGGAAGGTCCTCGTGCGTGGTGCTGCGTCCCTGCCTAGTGAGTGTGGCTGAGCTCCAGCCAGGGCTGTGCGCYGTGGCGCTGCTGACCTGCTCTTCTGCGCTGCAAATGCCAGTGCTCAACACTGGGGTCTGGCAGAGCTGTGCTCAGTGCTGGCCTTCCCCGACCAGACAGCACATGCAGCCCTGTGCCCTGGGAGGTGCTAGACCTGAGCAGACTTCGTCCACTCATCTGCCACCAAGCAGTAGTCACGTTAGCTCCTCAGTCATTTCTGCAAAAAAAAGRAGGAATGAGTTTGAGTTAGTAACATTCTCTTCTTTCTTCTTTCTCTGCCTCTGTCTGTCTCTCATAAGCATGGTGAGAGCACAAACTGTCCRTGTGATGATGCGAGAGAGGTTGCAATAGTCACGCTGGGTACCAAGGTAGAATTACGGAATTATTTGTAAAGCCTGCCCGTGCATGGAGCAAATTCCTAATCCTTGTCATCAAGTTTCGCTAACCCATTTTGAATCTTTCCCAGAATCTCACTCTTTGTGTGTCATAAAACAGTTTTATTTGTTCACTGAAACTGCAGAAGATGCATGCGCCCAAACATCATAACAGCCTGATGTTGTTACCATAACACAGGTCCTCCTCTTTCTCTTTCCCTAACTGTGTATTTGCTTTCCTTTGTGTTATGTCTATRAAAGAATGCAAGTTCTTTGGGGTAGTGGCATGTACAACTAATAAAATATAATAAAATAGCAATCAAATGTGTGAGGTGCTTCCTTATGTTTCTAAAAATTTCAGATGTTGATTTGGTCCATAGAGATTTTCAGTATTCCTGCAGTCAGATTGCGGAGAGTTTCCTTTTTATATTGTAAAATAATTTTAGATATGTGCTATTAATGAAGAATACTCTGTGAATTTACTGAACAACCCCTCAAAGTGCTTGTCAGGAGATAGTAAAATATTATTGTCGTAACAAATGTTGGTTCACAATAACTGCTATTTTAACTTGATTTTCTGAGGGTTCTTTCTCAGTGTTTTTAGCAGTACAGCTCACTTATTCTGCTTTACTTGGTATTTGATGCTCTGTACTTTTATAATGATGCAATACTTTTGGGAAATAGGTTGGATTTAATGAATTTACTATGTCTAAGAGTCTTGGAACAAAAATCCTTAGGGGGTCAGAGAACAAGTGAATGGTCCATTAAAAAATCAATCATGCCTACAATTTTATAAAATTATTATGCCTTGACTTGATAATTTTAATAGTATTGTGCTTACAACAGTATTTTCTTTAAACTCTTAAAAGTAGCGTTCATATTGATTAGGAGACAATAAGCAAATTAATGTTCTTCAATTTACCATGATTGAAATGAATAAAATTGCCTTTTAAAAATATATTATTAATAGTAATTTCTTGTTAAAGAGCATATCTCTCTAGCTGTGTATGATACATGTTTACCGACAGTCCTAACACAGCAATTTGGCACAGAAAATGAAATTATCTGGTTGAAGATAGATGCAGCTTTCAAAAAAAATAGAACACGAGAAAAATCAGGAGCATCATCTGGAAAGGCTGCCTACCAGTCTTACTAAAATTGTTGTAAGATATGTGCCATTTGTAAATTCTCAGAATATCAGATTAGCAGCTCATCCAAGGACAAAGGACATTGCTCCCTGTTCTGTAAGACAGGTTTACTCCAGAAAGACGAGTCTTCTTGCATTATCCTTGAAGCACTGGTCTGAGACCCAAGTGGGTTCTGATGTGCCATTAGGAAGCCACAACTCACATTCAAAACTGAGCGTAGCTTTCCTGAACCTATCTCATCTCCTAAGAAAGAGGATCTAACAACAGTCTCTTAACACCTTGATTTCTTCCTCTTTCTTCTTGGATTTTGTTTTCTGACACATTGTGCTCAGTGCAGAAGGAAAGGAACCTTTAGCAAGTCGGAACCCTTTGACCACATTTGTCTCTCTCTGTCTTGGACGCTTGTGGTTCTTGATAGCCACATGGCTGCCCTAAGTCTGGCAAGGCTCTCTTCAGCCTATGACTGGTGTCCTCTAGCAAAGCAAACACTCCCCTTGCACTTTTGTACTGAGGTAGTAGGGAATGGAGGGATAAGGCACGCATATTTCTTACTGAAGTTTCCAACAAAAACAGCTGTATCCAGGCTTGTTCACAGCTAGATAAGGCTTAAAAGCTGAAACGTGCAATTCTTAATCTCCTGATTCAGAGTATGTGATTGCAGCTTTGGTGGTGGTTGTGCCTGAATCTGCCTTTAGAGACACTTCCTCCTCTTGAAAGAATATTCCATGGGATGCTTTCTTCATTCAGTTACTAAATGCATGCAAGAGCTTTGCTAACACTCTGGAAACTTGCAGGCCACCATAAACATATTTTACTCTTAGTATTGGATTCTTCCTTAAGTTCTACTGATACGGGAGCAAAATCAGGTACCTAAATGTATGTGTTGTGAGGATGAGTAGCGAGGGGAGGAGGCCTTTGGAAGAGCATGATCTGCTTGTACAGGTGGGAGGGCGATGACGGGTACCAACGAAGCCTGGGAGATGGCAGATGTAGTAGATATGTAGTCACATAGGTGCTTCTTGGTCCTCGGGACAACGCTGCATGCGCCTGCCTTGGCCCTAAAGAAGATGCTGTGCAATTCCAGTCTCTGCTGGACCTGCTGGATGAAGATTAACACACAGCTAAGTAATACCGCACACCATATGCACTATATGTATATATAGTTGTCACCTGGAAAACAAACCTGTTTCTTTGCTACTTTTTTTCCCTAATATTTTGGAAAACTTATCCTTTTTTTTTTTTTTTTTTCCCTTTAGTGTGTGAAGGGAATTAAATGCACATAATTCTGCTGACATATTTATCCTTGTCTGCGCCAATGTCATCCCGGTGGCCTGAGCTCCGTGGTGGGAACCGTGGCTGGCAGCAGCAGGGCCAGAAGGGGGAGCTCCCAACATGGGTTTCTGGGCCTTGCCCTGCTCGGTGCTGCAAGGGGGAGGCAGGACCATGGATTCTCCCCAGATGGGAGAGAGCAGGAGTGGAGGGCAGCAGTTCCGTGGTGGAAACCTCAAGAGGCTTTTGTATGGCAGAGTAAATCTTATTGCCTTGCTTTTTTTTAATATATAGAATAAAAACATATTTTTGAATGGGAATTGTGAAGCAGCTGGTAACTGAGGTAGGATGCTGCTCCTACAGCTTCAGCAGAATATGGCAAAAAGAATGGAAGAAACGGGTGAGGAACTGTCTCTTGCAGAGATGTGGTCTAAGGGAGGTTGGCCCAGATGTTTTTCACCGAGTCGGCAGTTTTGCTTTTGCTTCTGTAGGTCAGCGAATGGCTGACAA